TGTATGTATGTATATACACTCACATACATTTTATATTTGATATTTTATATTTAGAATCGACGTACAGTAGTTTTTGAATTTTTTTTTTCCTTTTTTTGGACATGGCATCACATTTTTGGCAAAGAAAGCAGTTCATGCTTTTTGTTCTTTTCAGTTGCATGACTTGTTTAGCTTTGTATAACAATAAATTATCTTCTTTTTGTTACTTCACAATGAAAGACTAAAAGCAGTCCCATAACTTAATGCCATAGAAAATAACAAGCACATCCACTACAGAGAAAGAAGAAGTTGCTTGCATGCTACACGAGTTTCAAAGTTTTTACTCAAACTTCAGAAATATTTCACCACCTTAAAAACAAACTTCACCGCTGGTGAGAAAAAGAACACATTTTCTGTCATCGGCCCTGACGTGGAGGATGTTTTACCTTGAGATAGTACATTGTCTTGACCAGAACGTTTTGTAGAACTGGCTGGGCATCTATGTGTTTTATGTTTCACTTATTGATCAGTTAATCTATAAAATAACATTTTGTGGAAACTTATAGGCACAAAAAAGAAACACCTATTATGCTTTGTAGTCACTGATGAGAGAAAACCTATTTGTTGAGCTTTGTGATAAAGCTCATGCGGAACCACAGTTTATTTGTTAGAGAAAACAAGATTCAAGTATCAATAACTTATGGTTTGTCTGCTATGAATGTTACAAATTATTTGTTACATAAACATTCAGTGAGCAAATTGTAGCAATCTTTGAAGTTAAGAGGAATAATGGGACTGATTTAAAGAGGAAAAGAAAGAAGAACAAGACTTTGAGGGAAACCATACCCAGAATGTCATTTATTTTAATTTTTTTATTATTTTTTTTTATTTATATACATTTGTAGGTCATAAACTTGGTATGTGTGGGATGTATGTTGAGACACGTCAAAAACTATTCATGTCATGAAAAAGCAGTTTTTATGTAGTTATTACAGAAAGTGGTGTTGGTTTAGATCATACAAGCACTGACAGAAACTCAAAATGTTTTATTTAATTGAAACTTACCGGTAGATTATGATAAACCTATTCTTTCTAAATGACTTGCAAAAGACAAAATTAGCTTTTGCAATTAGCTGTTTGTAAATGAACAACATATAAAAGTGTCATAGAATGCATCTGTTTCAGTGCACAAATTGAAACCTTTAACTATTAAACCCCTAAAGCATGCACACTGAAAGAAAAATACAGAAGCATTCACTTAATTGTATTTAAGACTAAAGAAATTACATTCTAAATCTGGTAAGGGTTAGACAAACCGTATGCAATCGCCTGCAGCCAGAAAATAAATCATGTTAGAAATTTTTCAAAGCGTACAGATTTGCCAATGCTCCAATTAGTAAAACAAATTCTCTTGACAGAAGTCCATCTCAATCGGCCGCCAGTTGCTGATGTACGTTTTTCTCTTTATGTGGAGTAGATGGCAGTCGGTCACGCTTCCTGTGCACGGTGTCACTCCGCTCTCCACAGTGCGTGCTTGTGAGTGCGACCAACAGCAGAGAGATGATATACTGCAGTTGTGTTCACAGTGCTACCACAATGGGAGGAGTGTGAAAGTTATCCTGAGCCCTGCCCACCTACTGCAAAACATTTAAAGATGCTGGAGAGGAGCAAAAGCAGGCACATGAGCCTTAAATCTACGACTAACTGATAAGAAATCATTTATATTATAATAACTTGACTGGCATTGGACTAACATATCTAAAATGTTCTTTTTTTTTACATGACATGGATGCATAAGAAGTATTTTTCCTCATAACTATTAAAGCATCTAAAAGTCATTACGATTTTTTTTTTTCATTTTTGGCAAACAAAAGCTTGCAGACTTCTTGTCACAATGGTGCTTGATGCTGAGCTTAATTTGAAGAGCAGCAGCCTCACCAGGGAATGGAGCGGACAGGTCCATTCTGCTCTGGTTGCCTCCTTCGTTTTCCTCTTCTGCCTGGAAGCCTGTCTGTGGGTCAGGAACCTCAGGCTCAAGAGAAGACTTCCAGGACCCTTTGCCTGGCCCGTGGTGGGCAACGCCATGCAGCTGGGTCAGATGCCTCACATCACTTTTGCGAAGCTTGCCAAGAAATACGGAAACGTGTACCAGATACGACTGGGCTGCAGCGACGTGGTGGTCCTAAACGGAGATCGGGCCATTCATCAGGCACTAATCCAGCACAGCACAGAGTTTGCAGGCAGACCAAACTTTGTCTCTTTCCAGATGATCTCTGGAGGCAGGAGTCTGACGTTTACTAATTACAGCAAACAGTGGAAAGCACACAGGAAAGTTGCTCAGTCGACCCTCAGAGCTTTTTCGTCTGCAAACAGTGAGACCAAAAAGACTTTTGAGCAGCATGTTCTGGCAGAAGCCACAGAACTTGTGCAGGTATTTTTGCGCCAGAGCACTAATGGACAGTATTTTTACCCAGCATACGAGTTCACAGTAGCTGCTGCTAACATAATGTGCGCTCTTTGTTTTGGAAGGCGATATGGACATGACGACCAGGAGTTCAGAACCTTGTTGCACAGAGTGGACAAGTTTGGAGAAACAGTTGGGGCAGGTAGTTTGGTAGATGTCATGCCCTGGCTTCAGTCCTTCCCTAACCCGGTCCGAAACGTCTACGAAACATTTAAAAGCCTGAATAAGGAGTTTTTCACCTATGTAAAAGATAAAGTGGCACAGCACAGGGACACCTTCAAACCTGAGGTGACCCGAGACATGAGTGACGCCATCATCAATGCAATTGAGCACGGAGAGGGCAGCATATTGAGCAAGGAGTTTGTTGAAGCAACCGTCACCGATCTGATTGGAGCAGGTCAAGACACTATGTCAACTGTCATGCAGTGGATCGTCCTCCTCCTGGTCAAATACCCAGACATGCAAGCCAAACTGCAGCAGCTCATTGACAAAGTAGTGGGTCCAGACAGACTGCCATCAGTTGAGGACAAAAGCAGCCTGGCTCTGGTGGAAGCCTTCATTTACGAAACCATGCGCTTCACCAGCTTCGTTCCCGTCACCATCCCACACTCCACCACATCAGATGTCGTCATCGAAGGGCTCTACATCCCCAAAGACACAGTGGTCTTCATTAATCAGTGGTCTGTCAATCACGACCCTCAAAAGTGGAAAGACCCTCACGTGTTTGACCCCACGCGCTTCCTCGATGAAAACGGAGCTCTGGACAAAGACAAAACCAACAGCGTGATGATTTTTTCGACCGGTAAAAGACGCTGCATCGGCGTCCAGATTGCCAAGGTGCAGGTGTTTTTATTCACTGCCGTCCTGCTGCACCAGTGCAACTTTGAGCGCCATCCCTCTGAGTCTCTCACTCTGGACAGCTCCTACAGTCTCACACTGAAGCCCGACAGATTTAGTGTCAGAACCAAGCTCAGGGGAAAGTTGCTTGGCTTGGTTTCCCCAGCATGAACAGCCTTCAAAGAACACTTTCCCATCGATGACATTTAGAAGTGAGTATCATAATGCTTGCACCAAGCAGTTTTATTGTAAGACTTGGATATTTAACAAGAATATTTAATTCATCTTATCTGTATTTGATTTGCTGTTGGTGCAAGACCGAGAATGTTATTTTAAAGAAAACATCTGGAAACAAAACTTAAGCTTTTGGACTGCTAGCACCAATAAAAAATATTAAATGTTTGCTTCACAAAATAGTTAATACTTGATCAGAACCATTGGTGTTATTGTGCATGTGGTATGTGTGCAGAATGAGCTACATTGAAACTTTTATAACTTTATATTATTATTTGTGAATGTTATTAAGTCACTCAGAGGCTTATAGTTCTCATTAGCTATATGTAAAAATATATTTTTAACTTGTTCATGTTATTAATATTTGCATATGGCAAAACGATGTAATCACTATCTACTGTATTCAAGCATAAGAACACAAAACCGTGCATCTTGATCAACAGAAAGGTGATTTTTTTTTTCCAAAGTATTCATCACCTTCCAAAGGACAAGGATGAGATATTATTGCAGACGATGAACAACAAACTGTGCATCAAAGGTTCAATTTTACTGTACAAACACTGCAGCTAGCTGGTGCCAAACATGTTTCACCAGAACAACGAAACATGTGGAGCACATTTCTCTCACTCATGAGGCATTTTTAAAACCATGTTTGTTTACAAGAACTTTTTCAAAGCTACACGAATATCATTGTGCTCTCATTAAAACTCTTTATTCAGGAACTGAAGGTAGAACGCCCATAAGAATTTTTTTTTTTTTTGTCTGAGTCAAGGCAAATCAATAAAATCAATAAACCTTGAATTTTAAAGCACTTGTCTATGATGACTGAACATTCAAAACCCACTGAGGTTTTCTATAATGGCAAAATAAGCTGTATTTGCAATGAATAAATAAAACAGAATATGATCCTTGTGTGTGTTTTATTTGTGATTAATAAGAAAGCTGCAAAAACATTTCTCTGAGTATGATGTTAAACCTCATGCTGTTACCTTTTCCCAAATTATTTTAGTCACTGTCAAGGCTATAGATATGTACAAATGTCTGCATCACCGTTAAGTATAACTTATTGCACTTTAAATAAAAACTTCTAATATATTTGGCTAGTGACTGAATCTCTATTTTGCAAGCCGTGACATGATTTAACCTTTTTTTTGTGATTTATTTACCTGGATGATTGAGTTTACAAACCTTTTTCTACATTGCAAGCTTCTATTTGTTGAACAAACACCCACAAAAACAGGTTTATGTGTGAAAATCATAAGTTCCTTTAACCCACAATCCAACCAGTAACGTTATCTTCGAGACAATTTCTCAAACTGCTTTTATAACCCCAACATTACCTATGTGATGGTTTTTAATCACAAACTTTGTATTTGTTTAATGGATTTTAATCTTGAAATCGACTTCTTGCTTGTTTAGACTAAAAACATTTTTAATTATCTTGTAAAAAATAAAATAACAGGTAGGTCTGCTTTTAAATGAATAAAAAACATTAATTTAAAAGCATTTATTATGCATTACTTGCTGTATAATGCAGCCCTGGAATTGGTGCACAATACTCAGTGACAACCAGTTTATATCCAAGAAAAATTAGGCTGCACAGACTATAAATATTTTTATTTTTATGACGTTCTTTGGATCCAGAATCCTACATTTGTCTTTCTTGGTAGCAAAAGTATTGGAGCAGCTGCAGTCTTTTTGTCAGTGGGCTCACCAAACACTTCTGGAAGGAGAGGAGGCCTGAGTGGGAAGCAGCAGTAAGGTCAGCCGGCTGGGGTCGAAATGGGAGGAGAGAGATAACAAAAAAAAAACAAAAAAAAACAGTCAGTGACGCCTCCCACTAAAACATACATATAAGCGAAGTGTTAAGTCTTGAAAAGTAAAGTCTTTGCTTTTAAGTGATCAGCTGAAGACAAGCCGCTCCACTGCTATCCGCAGGAACCCTTCTCATTGTAATATACGAGCAGCAAAAATCAGTATCTTTAAATTACTGGAAAGACTTTAAATGTTTTTTTTTTTTTCATTTTAATTAAAAATACACAGTGGATGACAGACAAACTTCAGTTAATACAATGGCTCAGATGGATGCAGAGTTTGATTTGAAGAGCAGCAGCAGCAGCAGCAGCATCAGGGAATGGAGTGGAAAGGTTCATCCAGCTCTGGTCGCCTCTTTTGTTTTTCTCGTCTGTCTGGAAGCCTGTCTGTGGGTCAGAAACCTCAGGCTCAAGAGAAGACTACCAGGACCCTTCGCCTGGCCCGTTGTTGGCAATGCTTTGCAGCTGGGTCAGATGCCTCACATCACCTTCTCCAATCTTGCCAAAAAATATGGAGACGTCTATCAGATACGCCTGGGCTGCAGCGACATCGTGGTTCTGAACGGAGCCCGGGTAATCCGGGAGGCCATCATAGAGCACAGCACGGAGTTTGCAGGCCGACCAAGCTTTGTCTCCTTTCAGCTTGTCTCAGGTGGGAAGAGTCTGACCTTCACAAATTACAGCAAACTGTGGAAGATGCACAGGAAAATAGCTCAAACGACAATCAGAGCTTTCTCATCTGCCAGCAGCAAGACCAAAAAATCATTTGAGCATCACATTGAAGCTGAAGCCAAAGAGCTAGTTGGAATCTTCCTCAAACTAAGTGTTCAGGGTCAATATTTCAACCCTGGGCATGAGCTGACTGTAGCTGCTGCTAATGTCATTTGCGCCTTGTGTTTTGGGAAGCGATATGGACACGATGATGCAGAGTTCAGAGCCTTGTTGCATCAGGTAGATCAGTTTGGACAGACAGTAGGAGCTGGCAGTCTGGTTGATGTGATGCCATGGCTTCAGTCTTTCCCTAATCCAGTCCGAAATACCTTCAAGAGTTTTAAATGCTTGAACCAAGAGTTCTTTCAATTTGTCAAGAATAAAGTGGACGAGCATAGAAAGACCTTTGACCCGGAGGTCATACGGGACATGAGTGATGCCATCATTGATGCCTTTAATGAGACAGACAGCACCACTGAGCTCACCAAAGAGCACACAGAGGCAACTGTGGCAGATTTGGTAGGTGCAGGTATGGATACAGTTTCTACTGCTCTTCACTGGATTGTGCTCCTGCTGGCCAAACACCCTGACATGCAAACCAAACTTCAGGAGCTCATCGACATGGTGGTGGGGAGGAACAGACTGCCGTCTGTTGAGGACAGACTGCAGTTACCATATCTGGATGCCTTCATCTACGAGACAATGCGCTTCACCAGCTTCGTGCCTGTCACCATCCCCCACTCCACGACAGCCGATGTCTCCATCAGCGGTCTACAAATCCCTAAAGACACAGTGGTCTTCATCAATCAGTGGTCTGTCAATCATGACCCTCTGAAGTGGAAGGACCCTCACATCTTTAACCCCTCTCGCTTCTTGGATGAAAACGGCTCGCTGGATAAGGATGTAACAAACAACGTAATGATCTTCTCAGCAGGGAAGAGGCGCTGCATCGGAGAACAAGTCGGCAAAGTTGAAATATTTTTATTCTTTGCAGTTCTCCTCCACCAATGTAGCTTTGAAAAATGCCCAGATGAGGACTTCTCCTTGAACTGCTCTTACGGTTTAACTCTGAAGCCTTTAGATTACAAGATCACGGCCAAAATAAGAGGAGAATTGATCAACAGTGGGTAAAAATCTGAGTGATTATGTTCAGTAATAAATCATGCATGTAAACTAACAAAAATATAAAATTTAAAGCAAAAAGTAACATTTTAAACGTCTAAGTTCGTAAATCACACATAAGCTTTCTCACAAGGGTTGAATTTTAAAATAACGACTGCCATTTTATTTAAATATTAAAGAGTTATGTAAGCTGACGTGTAAAAACAAGCTTCCTGGAAATTGTGTGAGATAATTTATTTTGCAGCTTACTATCACATTAAGTGATCGGTTATAAACAAACTTGGATGTGGATGCTAAAATGACACAATCCATAAAAAGCAAAGTTGTGCAATGTCAATTAAGTGAAAGCATTTAGCAGAAATATCACTAAGCTGCAACATATACTGGCAATAAAAAATGTCTACCTAGGTCCATCTATGCTCATTTATTTTGTGCGTTGATCTTATTTGAGCCAAACCCATCATGTATTTTGACAATAAATCATATATCCTGTGTAAAAGTCAGTTATTAAGTTGTTGATAATTCTATATTTTTCATCTTGTGCTCTTTAAACACTTCTGTACAACCTGATTCATGCATATCTCAGTGACTGAGTGAAGACCTGTTGAACAATGTTTTTTTTATGATTATAATCTTGTGTGATACATTCTGTGCTCTGTAGTGTGATTGAAGCCTTGAATGCACAATAAACATTTTATACTGAATTTTTACATGTTTTATCTACTTAATATTTGGATTTTATATCAGCATCGGAGTTTAGGATAACAGGGTCAAATGCGCAATAATCGATGCAGATATTTGGTTTATGTGTTTTTGAACATGCTGGTTGTGGATATTAACACAGACTCATCTGTACTTTTGAATAATGTTTTTTTTTTTTATAAATATATATACATTTACAAAAGAAATCCCAACTTTGTGCAGTATCTTACAGTTGATGTAAAAATTCTGCGAGAAAATGCAGCAAAAATGTAAAAAAAATCAGCAATAGAAACATTTCTATAAAACATTTTGCTTATTATTTTACAATAAAATAAAAACACAATTTAAAGTATCAGAACTATTACTTCCAAACAAGGTCTCTGGTTTGAATCTCAACTGTGCAAGTTATTCTGATGCAGAATTTAGCATGTTTTCTTACGTCTAGTTTCCTTCTGCAGTTCAAAAACATTCATGATGGGGTTAAATCCTAAAAGGCATTTTTTATAAATACATTTTATAGCAAGATTATAGAGTAAAAGAAAAACAATCTTGCACAACAAAATCAGCATTGCATGCATCTGTGCACTTTTTTGCTTTGATGTGGAATCTGCTGCTTTGCAGAGCTTTTACATGAACAACAAACGTTTTAAAATTTGATATCGTTTCACAGCAATGGATTTAAAATGTTGATTATCCGTCCTGACAGTCAGTTGCTGTTTGCGCTCATTAAATTAGATACAAACCACTTGTGTTTGTGGTGCTGAAAATTACCCTCCCCAGTGTTTCTCCCCTCTGCATCAGTGTCATGGTATTTAAAGAAAAAAAATCAGACAAGATTTGATATCAGCAAAACTGTCAACACCATCTGCAATTCTTCCTTTTAACTCCTTCTTTTGGGAAAACCCAAACCGCACAATGCTCAACATTTACCCTACCCGCCAGTATCGCACATAAATATTAGTTTAAATGTGGGCTAGCAGCTTAGAGTTTTCATTTGTTTTCTTTTTATCTCCATCTCCTTGTCCCGTGGGAGCATGGCCTCAGTGAGTGGTCTCGACTCTACCTGCGCACTTACAGGAGCAACACGGCAGCACAGCTTGTTTTCACTTGAGTTAATACAGAGCAGCCTGAGGACATCCAGTACTTTTTACTGGCTCTGACACAGCAAGGACCCCCAGAGGAAGAAATGGGCCGACTAACCCCCACAGTTTCCATCACTGTTTCCCAAACTGTCCATGAAATGTGTCCAGCTGAAAGACTCCCTTTCACCCCAACTGCACTGTGCATACCCCACAGCCCTGGACCTGCAGAGTTCGACTCCAAAAAGGAAAACAACCAAAAAAAAAAAAAAAAGTGGCTGGCTGTCAGTTTTTCAGCTCTGAGGATATTCACTTTCTGCACGTACACATTGCCGCAGAGTGACCTCCCACAAGTCTCCTTCTGCTACAATTACATCCAGCTCAGCATCTAATACCACCCCTTCCCTGTACTCAGAGATTCAACATGCAAATGCATGGTTTAATAATTGACACACAGCACGGAAGGATTACTTGGACCAAAATAAATATGGCTCACCAGAAAATCTTTTCTGCTAATCATCTTCATCTGCTAAAACACAGAGGAGCAATATGTCTGAGCTTAAAAATGTCTGACATTTGGTTTGCCAGGTTTTTTTTCTATAGCTCTGCTTTTAAAAGCAGCAAAGCTACATAATAACTCCAAAACCCATCAGAGCAATACCGATAATAATAGCATTTCTTGAAGGATTGCACCTTGCCTCTTACTGCCACTTCGCCTTGCTGCCTGGAAGCAGGAAATAATCAAAACTTCTTTTTTTTTTTTTTCAAATGAAGTAACCTAGAAGACATATTTTCATAAAAAGGGGAAATCTCATGCAAAGTTATAAAATTCTGCCTTGTTTCAGCACAAATGTAATCCTTCCAAAAAGTAAAAAAATTCTAACAGCACAGGGGCCAAAAATCAATCAGCCTCGCCTCTTACAGGAACATATTCTTACAAGTCCAACAAAGCTGTCAGGTCCTCTGGACGGCTTCTTTTTTTGTTGAAACATTTCGTCCTTCATCCAAAGGACTTCTTCAGTCCAAGGATCTACAACAAACTCAGTCCCACAAGCAGCACACTCACATAGTGGATCAACCAGGTTGATGGTGATAACATTAAACAGGTTGGTTGGTCACCATCAAACTGGTTGGCCCACTATGTGAGTGTGCTGCTTGTGAGACTGGGTTTGTTGTGGATCCTCGGACTGATGAAGTCCTTTGGATGAAGGATGAAATGTTTCAACCCAAAAAGAAACCGTCCTAAGGATCTGATTTAACTTTGTTGGATTTTTTTTTTTACCTGGATTATTGAGCATGAACTTTGATGTTCTTACAAAGATTTTCACAAGAACAATCATTAAGATAAAAACCGTTTTCCAGCCAGTTCAGTATTATGATTGTTTTAAAACTCATAAACCAAGCTCTAGCTCAACTTCTTCCTGGATTTCAATTTTTAAAAAAACTTGACATCCATCCATTATCTTGCGCTTGTTCTGAAGTCAGGTCACGGGGGCAGCAGCTTGAGCAGGGAGGACCAGACATCTCTTTCCACAGCCACCTCTTCCAGCTCTTCTGGGGGTGTCCAAGGTGTGCCCAGGCCAACCGAGAGACATAGTCATTCCAGGGTGTCCCAGGTCTTCCCCGGGTTCTCCTCCCAGTTGGACACGCTCAAAGAACCAAGGGAGGCGCCCAGGAAGCATCCTTATCAGATGCCTGAACCACCTCAACTAGCTCCTCTTTATGTGGAGGAGAAGTGGTTCTACTCCAAGTATCTTCCTGATAATTGAACTTCTCACCCTATCTCTAAGGGAGAGTCCATCTAACCTGAGGAGGAAACTCATTTCAACCGCCTGTATCCACAATCTCATTCTTTCAGTCACCACCTAGAGTCCGTGACCATGAGGGTAGGAACGTTGACCGACTGGTAAACAGAGAGCTTTGCCTTACAGCTCGGCTCCCTTTTCATCACAATGGACTCGCACAGAGTCCGCAATACTGCAGATGCTGCACCAATCCGTCTGTCAATCTCACGCTCCATTCTGCCCTCACTCATGAACAAAACCCCGAGATACTTGAACTCCTCCACTTGAGGCAGAACCTCACCCTCAACATGAAGAGAGCAATCCACCCTTTTCCAGTTGAGGACCATGGCCTCAGATTTAGAGGTGTTGATTCTCATCCCAGCCACTTCACACTCGGTTACGAACCGCTCCAGTTAGAGCTGGAGATCACGGCACAATGACGCCAAAAGGATCACATCATCTGCAAAGAGCAGAGATGGAATCCTGAGGTCGCCAAATCGGAATCCCTCCACCCCTGGCTGCACCAAAAAATTCTGTCCAAAAAAGTTATGAACAGAATCTGTGACAATGGGCAGCCATGGTGGAGTCCAACTCCCACCCTGAAGGAGTCCGGCTTACTACTGTTAATGTGAACCAAACTCTCACACTGCTTGTTTAGGGACAGCCCATAGCATTGGCCCCCAATTCCCTACTCAAGGGGCACCCCCCACTGTCACTGTGTACCCCGGAGAACACAGTCGAAAGCCTTCTCCAAGTCCACAAAACAGATGTACAGTAGAATGGATGGGCAAACTCCCATGAGACTTTAAGGACCCTAGTGAGGGTAAAGAGCTGGTCCAGTGTTCCACGGCCAGGATGGAGCCCACATTGTTCCTCCTGGATCTGAGGTTTGACCAACAATCGGACTCGCTTCTCCAGTACTCCTGAATAGACCTTGCCAGGGAGGCTAAAAACTTGAAGTGTGTAAAAAAAAAAAAATTTTTTTAATTAATGTGGAAAAAATGTAATTTCCAGTTATTTATATATAATTTTATAGTACAGAAGGTGTTTCCATTCTTCTGAATCCCTTGTGGAATGATGTAAAAGGAATAAATACTGAGCAGGACATATAATTATACTTCAGTGGAAATTATAATCAAGTCATGTCACTCTGCTACTTAAGCTTGTATTTTTAACACATCACTGAAAACATCTGACAGTTAGCCACTCTTTAGTTTCGTCATGAAACCTCCCACAGCCATCATATGCGAAGTGACCTGTTTCAATAAACAGCTCATTATTACAGGGTGGAACGGCTGGTTTTTCCTGCTAAACTGGTGGTGTGGAGCGATGGGAATGAAAGGACCTTTGTTGTCAAATCCCACGGTTTGTAATTGCATTTGCAACACTTGTTTTCCATATAACAAACAATCATTTTTAAAAGGTGCAGAAGGAAGTGATTTGCTCTGGTCAGTATGAGCAAACGGCTGTTTTCGTTCACGAACGGGAGTTTTCATCATGGTCGGAAAGAGTCACTACTACTTGTGAAG